TTTATACACTATTTGCTTAAAGTTGTCTTGTGTTTGATGCAAAATAAACCCAAAAGCTTAAGATTATTTTAATCAGTTTGTACATAAAGAAATTATTAATTCATCAACTCATTCATCATGCAGAAATCTTGTACTGGCAAATGACTTCTTCTCACCGGTGATTCCCAATGGTTTTAGAGGACAATTACTCCTCGTCGCCCCCTGTTGTTTCAAAGAATAGTACAATGGTGAACGCAACAAGTATAAAAGCCTCATCCATTTGGGAAGGTGCACGCGCAGTCAGCGGAGGCTCACGAAGCGGAGCCAGGCCGAAAGTATAAATCCCGCTTAAAAGCCCGGCAGATGTAGCGCACTGTCCGGTATGGTGTCTTTCAGCCAGGTTTCCGTGAAACACAGAGCAGCAGAGTTTGAAAAATCCTTGTTTGTCTGGGAGAGCAGAAGGAGTTCATCCATTTTGTTGGGTAGATAGCGGAGGTTCGCCAGATGGATGCTAGGCAGCGCCGTTCAAAATCCGTCAAATTGCTCGTCCTGAAGTGTTTGATCAGCGCCGCTGCTCCGCCAACTACAATGTCCAGCAAAACATCAGAATAATCGAAAACCAGTGAAATATAGGGTGGTGTGTACTGCCGAATGTCCAGCAATTCGTCTCTGGTGAAACTGATTGCAGGGATATAACTAAAGACAGGACAAACTAACAAAAACAAAAACAAATGTGGAGCACGCCACGGAGGCAGCCATCAGCGGTGCCATCACAAGTAATGTGATTTTGTAAATTCATATTTAAAAATTATTAATCTATTCATGGGTAATATATACAAAAACATATATAACTAAAGCTCGGCTGATGGAGATACTGCCTAATTTAACTTTAGATAAATTACAATCTTGGTCATACAAATATCAGAATGTCAAGTATTCTTATAGGGAATAATAATACTGTGAGGGTGGTTTGCATTTCAAACTGCTGTGCTTGACATTTTTGAAGACATTTTAGTCTCTATTAAGTCTCTATTAAAGGACAATGCCTTTGTCAGCATTTATTCATCATAATTCATTCAGCAGGGTCCTTATTTTATCTGGGTAACAAAAACTTTGATATAACTGAAAATGAAACTGTAGTGCTCATACTTGAAAAAGGACAGAATACACAGAGACGTAAAGGTAGACTTAGCAGGCCTTTCACACTGTGTTTAACCCCAGATTATCATCCTTCCAGACTCTGCCTTTAACCCCGGATAATGGAAAGTTTCACATTTTATATAGAAGCGGACTTGGCACCGAATAAAATATTATGGCTAGATGCTTAAACCTCATTCAGATTGTCAGCCCAAATCTGATTAATGTGCAAATCCGTTTGAAATCCAGTCATGTTTAGATACTAATATTAGATATTTAAAACTGCATGAAATGAATTTTTGCACATCCGTTTCGAGCTACAATAATGGCTACGTTCACACGGTCAGATTTTGTGATTGACAACCACATTTTCTTTACAGGTGTGACTCTCGAAATGTCCCGTTCACACAGCAGCTTACAGTAACGTTCTCAAATGCTGTCTGTATGAACATGCAACGGAAGTCAAGCCCGTGTTCCTTACCAGTAACCATAGCGACAGTGACCGAAGTAAAATTAAAGATGGCGATGGTGGTCCATAAAACTTAAAGTCTTATCACTTTCAAGACACTGACACAACAAGAGTCCAATCGAGCCGCGAGTTCTTCAGTCAAATCTTCATTAACCGACAGCAGATTTTATATTTGGGTGGAGAGCGGAGCATTTGAATCGCGCGCAGAGCACAAAACTCACGAGAGCGGCTCCGGTGGAAAACTGACGGGATCTAAAACTTTCAGATGACACGCAGCTCATTTCTCTGTCACTGTAAGTTACCGAAAACACGTAACACACGGTAGACGCGTGTTTGTGCGGCAGAGCGGCTCTCTCTCGCACTGTATGACGTGACAGACAACTAGTTGTCCAGTCCTGTTCCGTTCACACAGCGCGTGTGTTCCGAGAATGTTGTGAGTCCTGAAAATGTACAGGTGTGAGTTCGGTTACAGAATGAGATTGTCACGCCCGTAAATAACCGAACTGTGTGTGAACGTAACCGTATTAAGGACTCAAAAACAGGACTGACAACCGTATTCTGCTGCTGTGTGAACGTGGCCACAGTTTGAAACGACATGAGGGTGAGTAAATAATGACATAATTTACATTTTTGGGTGAGCTATCCCTTTAAGGTCTTTAGTTTTTTTTCGTTTTTTTTTTTTCAAATGAAATTATACTCTAAATAAGAAACTAAAACTGCCAGCAGGTTGCGGTAAATGTCTTTGAGTCATTCATTAATTTGATTAGTTTAAACGGCTGATTCATTCAGAAACTAAACACCGCCGTGCTGCTCGGAGACACACAACAATGGCTTTATAGGTAATATTTTTGTTGGCAAAACTGAGCAAAAACAGACAATATTGTGTTTAAAATATAAAATATAACTTATTTACTGAACTGTTGTATAAAATCACATTTAAACTCCTGATATTTGTGACAAAAACAGCACCCATGTGATATTGCTCTTGCTGCTCGTGTGATATCGCATATCATATGATATAATTATGTGACAAAAACTCATACAGGGGCATTTTTTGCCCCAATATCTTGAATTTTAGAGCATAACTGCATTTATGGAGTTGATGCCCTGCATCGTATTTGTCAACAGTCAACTGTAGGAAATGTAAGATGATGTACAGGTCTGGGGGCGGGGCCAGTGCGTTAACTGCATTAAAATATTTTAAATTGCGTTATTTTTCATAACTAATTAAGTTAACGCGTTAAACTGACAGCCCTAAAAATTACACAAATCAGTGTTTTTTTTAAGTGTATTTAGACTTTCCCAAATATCCCAAATTTTAACAGGGTTTCAGACAATGCAAAATAAATGTGCCTCTCCTGAGGAAATTATAGTCTGTACCTTAGTTTACTTGCTCTAAAGTGTCTAAGTACAGAAAAGAAAAAGGACACTGACTGTCTAGGCTGTAATTTGACGGTTCCACAAGGGGTTGTCTATAATCTTCACTTCACTCAGATTACTCTGGGTCATCTGTTCCTATAAGCATCAGCTAAATTATAAAATTTGATTCATGGCGTTGACCACTGTTCAAATAAAGTACAAACTGCAGGTACGCACCATTCTGTATCAGATTTATACAATTTTTACTACATAAAGACATCGTCATTGTTTAACACGGGTGCAGCCAGTCTTTCTATGAATTTTGCATTACATAGTTTGGGTTAAAATCCTTACAAGTAAATCTAAAATTACAGATGATGCTTTTCACTTACTAAAGCATATTTTTGCATATCAGATGATGCTTCTGTAGTGCTCATTTTGTGAGCTACCACAAACAAAAGTGAAACACAAAATAAGCATCTGTGATTGGACAAAAGACTCATAACTCTTGTTCATGGTTACAGACATGTGTACAACAAGCATGTCTGCGATGGTTACAATGCCACAAAGTGTTTGATGCAGGCTGATTAGACCTAAATGGAAAGCTGTAATATTTTAACAACGAAAAAAAGACTTCTTACCCCTTAACTGTGGGCATGATTGAGAAACCTTGAGAGCTTTTCAGTGAGACACTACCATGACTGTGGTTTTTCTTAGTTGAGAGGTCAAGGACTCCATCTGCAAATAAAAACATCATATAAGACCAAACTAAAGATAATCAATCGCCCAAACTGAATCAAACCATCTAGTTTTCTTTTAACTGTAAATAGATTACCTTTCTTTTTGATCATTTATACTACTGAACACTTGAAAGTTCTTTACATACTTTTTGCAAAGTTCTGGTTCGATTTAAAATCATTTCAGCTTTTGTAAACACTGTAATATTCACAATTAATGCACTTCCCATCCAAATACATATCTATTCATAATAAGCTGTAGAAACACCATTATGCAGTGAGTTAATTCTCAACCAAAACAACATTCTGGCTGTCTCAAAGCTGACTTAATTTATTTGATACTATTTTGTTTCTAATATAAAATTGACTAACAAAGATAATGTTATGATTTTAAAGCATGTAATATTACATCTTCCATTACATCTTCTGAAAACTGTGCCAATACAGACAGATATATTTTAATAGCTTATTTTCAGTTCACTATTGAGATTGAATTCGTTTTTATTTTTATATTTTCCATTTTAAATGTATTATTCATATTTTAGTAATTTTGTTGCATTTTTTTTTTTTTTTTTTTTAAACAAGTCTTTATAGTTTTTTATTATTTCATTTTAGTTATTTTAGTACATCAAGTTAAACTAAACGATGCATGCACCGATACCACTTTTTTTCAGAACGAGGCCGATACCGATACCTGTATTTTCATGCCATTTGTAATTTTTTTAAATACTGGCTACAGAAACCAAAAGAATATGAATACTGTTAGTTGGTTTAGTTCATTTAGCAAATATTTCCTTCCGTTCTTTTCACACTTAATTATGCCTATTAAAATAGATTGTAGAAGCATTTGTTACTTTCACTGTTCATTTTATTGCTCTGTCGTATTTCATCTTTAATTTAATATCACATTACAGCTGCTCCACTGCAGCAGCTCACAAGTTTTCTTGACGTTTTCTTGTAACAATGCAAGGAACCACTCGATAAACATAAATCTTGTAACAGCGATGAACATATTTTCTGAAATATAAGTCACGTTTTTTGTCATCTGAAACGTGTTGTGACTTATATTCCAAAGCCACTCATATAATGCGTCTGTCACGGGACGGTGTGGTGTGTGATCAGGCAGGACGAAGACGACGAAGAATTCCAATAATCACTTTAATTAATCCACAGTAGGTAATCCAGACAGCCAGGAACACACACGAGGTAACAGTCACAATAACCGATAAACTAGAACACAATCGACAGGAACTGATATAGGGCAGATAACGAGGGCAGACAGGTGAGCACAATGAGATGATTAACTAATAATGAGAACAGGAATAACCAAATATGGACACAGAGGGAGAAACCACAATCAACAGTCCACGGGTGTGACAGCGTCAAGCAAGCAAAACATGCGCAATGCGTGCACACATTTGTATTGGTGCAGAATGAGAGAGACACGTACAGACTGCTAGTTTCACTTTCACTTTAAATAAAGTCCTGCATGCTTGAGGTTTAAAATAAATGTTGTTTATAGTAAATGCCCCTATATTTTTTGTTTGTTTTAAATTGACGATTTAGTTTTAATCCAAATCATGCGTGTGCTGAAGGAGCGAACAGCAATCAAGATCATGCTCTCTCTCTCTTTCTCTCTCTCTTGCTCGTTCGCTCTCCTTACCTTCAGGTAACTTAAGTAACTTGTACATTGTTTTACATACTTGCTTTTGACATTTCCGACCGAACAACAAACTTTCCAGTGATGTCTGTGAGCGTGCTTTGTGTATCAACTCGCGCACATCAGCTATACAGGCATGAATATTTCATGTTTAACATTAAATGAATTACATACATGTACTTCATAGATAGCCTTAATCTCTAATAACTTCATTCTGCTCTCTGTTGTTCTGTTGTGGTGTTTCTTTGTCTGGACACGGCTCTATTCACATGCTGTGTGGTATCGGTGCATTTTAATGAGCACAAGTACAGGAGCGCAGTATCGGTATCGGTGCATCCCTACTAAATGAACAGACAGATATTTTAATAGGTCATTTTCAGGCAAATATTTAAACCTTGTTTGATTCATCTCAGTGAATCAGTTCTTTTGAACTGTATATTTGAATGAATCTGTTCAAAACCCTTATTCAACAAGTAATTTGCCTCAATTGTTTACAAATTTCCCCTCTTGAAAACTGACATGCTTTATTTTTTAGAACAAAAACATATTTAGGTAAATTATTGTTTATTATTATTTATTGATATTTCAGTGCATACAGATAAAATA